TCTTTTCCTATGTTATTCTTATTGTATGTTTCCTTGCGTTTTCATGAAGGAGAACATGTTTCTGTTGATGGGCTCATGACCCTTTTCAACTGAAATTTTATGGACACATTGCAGCTGCTGGACGCAAAAATGTGCACTTAGTGTTTAAGAACTTCAAATAAATAATAACCTAAGGATCTTGCCAATTATCTGTCTTCCATGAACAACAGCTTTTGAGGTTAGATATCGAGATTTATCCTTGTCAATACACTTTTATATCGTCGTGTGTTAGTGTACTTTAAATTTAATCTTAACTGAAACGTATGATCAGCAGTTAAGATGGTTCGTTATCCAAAACGCAAAATTACTTATGACCCAACCTAACACTTAAATCAACGAAAGACAGCAATTTACGGATTGCTATAGTCGTTTCTGTTCTGAAGAGATAAAGCAAAATCAAAAGAACATATATTTTTCTAATAATTATTTTGTGGTGAACCCTTTCGCTGAATCGACCTCTTCAGTTCGCCAGCAAATAGCTTGAAACAGTTTGCTGTTGTCATCATAAATCCACTGATACGTGGGGCCCCTAATGAAAAGTAAATACAGTAAAAGACATTAGAAACAAAAGATATGTAAATACATGCAGCCGACTATATACGTATCTTTATGTAAATATAATGCTAACTCTTGCTGACGAAATCCAGCTATTAATGTACACTACGTCTAAGTTTTCAATGTATTTTTCATGCTTTCTTGCTCAGTATCACCAGCCAGTCGATCGACCTGCCAATCAAACGGTAAGCTCTCAACAAAACAACAATAATAATAATGATACTACAGCAGGCCTCGCTCTCTCGGCTTCACTGATTGAAGGTGTCAACATATTCATGTTTTGTCTTAGTTAATTAAAATGGTCTACAGTAAATAAACTGTTTAGTATTACAGATCTGCCTGTTCATTGCCTGACCATAACCAGTTAAGTTCTCTAAGGGCCGATGTGGCTATGCGAGCTTGATCATGTCTCTTTTCAAATCATGACTAGACAAAATTTTCACGTGGATGGTTTCCGTTTTTTTTCCTGCTGTAGACTGGTTCACAACACATTGATGTGGGAAGGACAAATGGATTCATACCTTTCCCAAGAGTATTTGCACTTAAGTGCCCGTACAAACCCAACTGGAATTCGAACTCGTCTACGAAGTTAACATTCATTTGTATCTCAACATCACCTTGTTGCGTGTTGCTCTCTCAATCACAAATAATAATAATAATAATTCTCAGTGTTTTATCTACTGTCTTCCTTATCTCTCGAACTTACCTCTACTGTCCTAATCTGGGAGCACACATTCGCTTATATTCCACTGGCCTTTTTCTAAATACGAAGCGATAACAACTACACGAAAAGAAAACAGTCCGCTAAAGAAGTCTCCAGCTACAGAAGAGTTCCATCGTCATCATCGATCGTCTGGTCGTGTACCGGAAAGGAAGGAAGGAAAGAGAAGAAAAGAAGAAGATAAATTGAATACAGGCGGACCCATTACATCCCTGAGAAGAGCTGGTTTCATCATTTTCAAGATAGAAACGAAAACAGTGAAGGTGGTGGTGGTGGTGGTGGCGACGTTATTGAAAAAGGATGAGGAGATTGAGTGGTCGTTAGCTTTGAGAGGGAAGGGGGTTCATTTATCTTTTACTTCGGATGCTGTTCTTCAACAAAACCTATTTAATCTAGAAACTGTAGATGGAGTTAATGGTTCGCTTTTTGCAAAGACGGTCGGTGGTGGTAGATGGCAGTGGTGTAGGCCAGCGTTTGGTGGTTTGGGATGGTTGTGCCGGTGGTCGGGAGTCGGTGGTTGCGTAGGGCTTGGGACAGGGTGGCTGGTGGCCAGAGGGTGGCTCCAGTCTGAAGATGGCATCGCTTTTTATCGTTTTTCCCATCGCTCATCACATCTAGGGAGGCTTTATCTGAGGATTGAAAGTCTGCTTAAGAATTTATTAGATTTCTCGGTAAATCGGCTTTCCCCCCCACCCTTGCCTCTCGAACTCTTTGTCACGGCGCTATCTTGACTTCCTCCTGTCCTTATCTCTCCTCAAACCTCTCTATCGCTCGCTCCTTGATATCATAGACACACACACACACACAAAACACTATATATATATATATATATATATATATATATATATATATATATATATATATAGGTATGTATGTATGAGTGTGTGCGTGTTCTTTTATACTTTTAATTTATAAGTTTTTCTTTTTCTTCCCTTATCTCTCTCAAGCCACTATACCGTTTACTCCCTTGATATCATATATATATATATATATATATATATATATATATATAGGCATGTGTGTGTATGTGGGTGGGTTCTTTATTATCACTTTTAATTTATAAGCTTCTCCTTTCTTCTTCCATTTCTCTCCTTCCTTTCACCTACTCTCTTTCACTTCTCCAGCCATCATTTTTCTATCTAGATTATTCATCATCACATATATAAACCATCTTTTTATTTTGTTTTGTTTCTTTTTCTCCTTTTCTCCCAGTGTATATATATATATATATATATATATATATATTGGAATGTTTTTTTATTCGACATTATTATTATTTTTTATTACTACAAACTTTTTTTTTTATTTAGTGAGTACACATGTTTGAGTTGCTTTCCTTATTTTGGCTCAAAAGTGGTTGGGTCTGATGGAATAAAAGAGATGCAGGTTTGATTCTGTCAGTGGCACAAATTTTCTCTGATATATATATATCTATTTTTCTCTGATATATATATATATATATATATATATATATATATATATATATATATATATATATATATATATATATATCTTGTATAAATAAACTACTGAATAGAGTTTACCCCGAAATTGGTCAATTCTAGTAAATATTAAAAAAGTGGTCAATACCTATCCTGTAGAATAATATTGCAACATATATATATATATATATATATATATATATATATATATATATATATATATATAATATAACGGAGTTGTTTTGAGATTGATAAATAAGTGAACAGGCAATTAATATATATATATATATATATATATATATATATATATATATATATATATATACTGTACATAACCTGCCTTGCTTTTATCAATCTCAGACCTCCATTGCCTCTTCTCTGATTTCATTTGTTCTTTCTCAATTTCCCTCTCCACGGCACGTATGTCTAATTTTGCTATAATATTACCTTTCATATTACTGTCTTTGCTGTGCTCTCCATCTCTCCATAGATACCTAACTATTTACAATTTCTCTTTTTGTCATTAGCTATCCATATTGTTTTTTTCTTATTTAAATGTAGCCATTCATATTCGATCCTTGGTTACACTAAACGAAATTCAATAATATACCTACAGATTTCCTGAATTTTATTTTTTATACTTGATTATCTCCCCTGTTTTGCTCTACTTTTCAATCATTTGTCCTCTTTTTCACATTTTATATTCACAACTTTTCTTCGTCGTTTCTTTACCTATCTTTCTTCTTTCCTTCCTTCCTTTCCTTACATTCTCTTTCTTATCTTCTGTCTTTCTTTTACTCTCTCTCTCTCTCTCTTCTTGATTCAAAGTTCCTTCTCTCGATTTTTCTATTTTTATCTCTTTCGCTATTTCACTTTCTTTTTCTATTTCTACACTTTTAAATGTCTTCCTTCCTCTCTCTTTACCCATTTCTTCGCGTTTTTCTCTTTTATTCTCTTCCACCCTTTCTCCTTTCCTTGCCTTCCCTCCCTCCTCTTATCCCTTATATATATATATATATAATAATATATATATATATATATATATATATATATATATATATATATATATATATATATATATATATCAATTGTGAATTACTATATTACAACAATATTCAAAAATCTAGCGTCGTATTACTGCACGTTCAAAAAAATTCTTAACTGTTAATAATAGCACACATTTTTAATAAAACATCTTTCGACAAGTATCACGTTCATTTTCGGTTTGGAATTTTACCCGAAATTACCTGAAATTGAGAAAAAAAAATAACATCAATGCCTGAGCATGGTAAATATTTTTACCGAAAGTACGTGCAAGCAATATGGCTGAACATCTAATCCATTATACAATTAATAAAAACAAGGATCGTGTCGTTCAGTGAGTGGTCAGTGAGTTTATGCATTCTTAATATGTTAAAGAAGTGTCTTCACCATTAATTACATTTATTGATTTATTCTTTGAATGACTCTTTTACAATATCAATTAAGCTGCATTAATTATTATTTAATAATATATATATGCTATTTACATTATTCGGACTATTGTCCTCTTCTTGGTTGCCATATTTATCGCAACGTTTCGGCCGTTGTACGCTTCTTCAGGTAGTTGTAATGTCGAACTGAACTGAATCCTTTATTTCGCTCGCTGGGGTAGACTGCCCTAGTTCCACGTGCCATGGCTAATCTTTATCTCTTGTTAATTCACCTCTCCAAGTTCTCCACTGCCTTAACCAGGTATTGAACTCATATATATATATCTGGCCTCTCGTATTCGAGTATACCTGTCTACTACTAAGGTGAGCCAATCCCAGCTGCTCCGGCATATTTGTGTTCGTTCAACATCCACAGAGGACAACTATAGTTTACTGAGCGGACCTTAGTTACAGTTTTTGAGAGAGAGCACATAATGTTACATGAACAAATCCACCCTGCACAAACTCTCGATCACGATGACGTTTGCTAGCACAACCATTGACGGCTCCCAAATAATTCCGTCTAACCAATTTCCCTTGTATCAACTCGTGGTATCTTTCAGGCACTTTCCAAAGGGGTCACATTTTTTAGCAATTGCAAAATCATAAACTCAAGACGTCGCAAGTCGAGATTCGATCCCGGGTCTCATGGTCGGCAAGCGAACGTTCTAACCACTCGGCCACGTGATCATTCTTTCTCGTTTTCTTTCTCACGTTCTCCTTTTCTCTTTTTCTTCATTTCTTCCCCCAAATCTTTCACTCCCTATCTCTATGGTCCTACTGTTTCTCTTTCTTTCTTTCTTTCTTTCTTTCTTTCTTTCTTTCTTTCTTTCATCTTCTCCTTTTGAAACGTTTTTCATTAATCTTTTTATTAGAAAAAGAGAAAGATATTTCTTGTTTCAGTTGCGTTTATTTAGATCCGAAATTCAGATTCCACTCTCATTTCCAACTATTTTTCTCCCTTATTTTATGCACCTTTATCGAAAGATTATAGATATACGTCTAACTTTGCACACACACACACACACGCACGCGCGCACACACATATGTATATGTGTGTATGTGATCTTTTCCCCTGCTTCTTTTATCGATGCGTGTATCTACATTTACACATCTTGTATATATACATACATATATATATATATATATATATATATATATGCCCACTTATTTAGGTTTTTTGCTTTTCTCCTCTACACTAATCTAAAATCTTTTAATAGATTGCTTTTATATTTATTCCTTCTTTATCAACTCACTTCTCTCACATTCTCATTTATCCTACTTTTCCCCCTCTCTCCTTTTTTTATCTCTCCCTATCTCCTTTTCGTCACTCTCTTTTACCCACACATTATTTTTTCGCTTCCCTCCCTTTCCCTTCTTTCCTTCTGCCTACCGCGTTTTCTTTCACTTCAGTACTGTTTCCGCCTTTTTACTTTTCTCCTTTACGATAAAGGTTTTTGCCATTATTTCACAGTTAATTATTTTCTATCGTCTCTTCTAGTTTGCTCTCGCGTTTTCCTTTTTCTCCATCTATCTAGCTATCTTGTTTTTGTCATATCTGTCTATCTATCTATCTATCGATTTCATTCTATTTATTTCTCTCTATCCCAGTTTGTTTATATCTATCTCTGTCTATCTATCTCGTTTTCGTCATGATGATCTATCTATTTCTTTCAGTCTATTCATATCTATCTATCTCAATTTGTTTCTATCTATCTATCTCTATTTCTTCATAAGTATCTGTTTATCCATCTATCTATCAATATATATATATATATATATATATATATATATATAAATTTTGTTCATTATCAGTATATCTATCTCAGTTTGTTTATATCTACTTATCTACCTATGCCAATTTTAAATCTCTCTCTCTCTCTCTCTCTCTCTCTCTCTCTCTCTCTCTCTCTCTCTGTCTGATCATATCTATCTATCTTTAATTTCTATTCGGTGTCTTTCTTTTCAAATACAACCTCATTTATTTTAACGTCCTTTTAACATCTTCTCTCTTTTCACTCATCCTGTCTCTTTCCTTTTTTATCTTACTACTTTGCTTGCCTTCTCTATCACAGCCACTCTTTTTTTTTCTTCCCCCTTTTAACTCACTCATTTTTCATCTTTCTTTTACTTGTACTGTTTTCTCTCTCTTTATTTTCTCAATTTTATTTATACTTCTCTCTCTATTTTTAATTATTTCACTCTCTCTCTCTCTCTCTCTCTCCTGCTTTCTATTATTTTACTCATTTTCTCCACCTGCTTTCTCTTTCTTTGTCTTTACATCGAAATTGTTTCCCTTTCTTACTAACACTCCCGTTTACTTTCCACGTCTTTATTTTTTTAATCTCTTTTTGTCATCTGTTTGCCTCTCTCTTTGTTATTTCCCTGTCCTCGCCGGATGTGCAGTCCAATCACCTTAGCGATATAAGCTGGGAAGGTCTTGTCAGGATGTTATCGGCTGACTATTCTCTTACATGAGATAATGTTCAATTCCACCTTACTGCAATTCTTCAGATAAAACTGTAGAAGACACGGAAAAGCAGGAAGCAAGATAGACAAAGATTGGCGCACTTAAGTACTTGATGTGTGCAGCAACAAATATACCAACAGACACATTGATACATGTATCTGATAGTGGCAGATATGCGCACACATATGCAACTATACACACCAATCTTAGACACGTAAATTGACGCATACATAAATGTAGAAAAAAAGACAAAACTAATAACAGTAATGGGCACCAATAAACACATGTATACACACATATATAATAAATTCCCGGTGAACAGTGACCGGCTACAACTAAAAGTTTCATGCATTTTTACGAAATCACTCGGCAACTGTTATGTGTGATAATTGGCATTTTATACTTTCTCGGCAAGTTCAAGACCTTACAAGGAAGGTAAGTGGGTGTGAGTATACTATGTGTGGCACAAGCTAGATAGGTTTTTAAGGTCTTTCAGTTGCGTCTGTGTCTTCGGGCAGTGTGCGACTCAGTTGTGGCTTCGTCGGAGGACAGAGGCGCAACTGAGGAAAATCATACGGTGAGGTATCCATCCCTGCGGTGCAGATGCTCGAGTCTTCACCCTCTCATAGCACTAGAGAGAGGGATCTTCTGCTCGCACTGAGGCCAGCGTAATCGACAGTTGCAGTGGCTCGGGAATTTTTGTCCTTGGACCGAGTGTACGCGCTCGGATTCCCCACATTAAACCCGACCTTGTGTCGCATCCCGTTTCAGTGAGGAGACCATGGTAAATGCATACTATGTACACATTATCAAAGATAACGAAAGCCGGCCCTAATTAATACGGAACCCCTCGAACGGAGGGAATCAAGGCTAATTGGAGGCCCTGCTTTGTGACTAAACACTATCTTATCAACATTTAATTTTCCTACTCACATTGATATACGTTAAAAATTATATTAAGTATAAATTTTAACGGATTTTGAATCATTTTTTTCGTCCAAATCCGTGAATTTGTCTTGCTCATGCTATCTCACGAAAAACATTATATTTAATTCACTATTTTTATCCATAATTTTGAATGTGTTAAATTATTCAACATTTTAAGAAGAAAAATCTCAATTTGATGTTCAAAATTGTCACAAAACATTGTTGATTTATTTAAGATGGAATCATATATTGTGTCATGTCTCTGATTTTTATTTTGATAAAATTTTTTTATTTTCAGTTTTTCTAGTTGAATTTTTCACCTACATTGTATATGATCCATTATTGTACATAATTAGTTTACAATAAAATTTGTATTTTATATGATTACTACCTTATGAAAATTAAGTTATATCAGAGTGGGTACAGGCGTATCATAGATTCGGGAGAGGACCAACAAAAGCTTTACACCGGCTCTATACATGACAGGTGCTGATTACCTGCTGATTGCTTGAGAAGGTATGAAACTATTCGTTGTGGTCGGTCTCTGTTCACAGGTAAATCATTTAGAAATATTAAGGGTCTGTCATTTAATATGACATTGATCACTCTTTCTCCGATGTGCATTTCTAGCATATTATCTTAGGAGTTGCTTTGTACTTTATATATATATATATATATATATATATATATATATATATATATATATATATTGAACAATAAAAAAATTAAAATCATTAGACACACTGGGTTGTAGATTAATATTCTTTCGTTTTTTATTATTATTATTCCATTTAGATTCTCGACTAGTTTCGACCGAAATGGCCATCATCGGGAGGAGAAATATTTCTGCTTGCTGTTAGCAGTGAACTACAGAAATGAATATATATATATATATATATATATATATATATATATATATTCATTTATTTATATATATATATATATATATATATATATATATATATATATATATATATATAATATATATTAAAAACTTAAACACTAATATTCCATGGTCATAATTTATAATAGACGATATTGTGTGTGTATGTCACCACAAAATGTATCCTTTCCGGGTATTAGACATCCGAGAATATTCATATTTCTCTCACTTAAACCGTCTTTGACTCCCCTCTTTAAAACTTCTCTCTGTTAAATTTTAATTCCCCCCTTCATCTTTAGACCTTCCTGTTCTTCTCCTGTTCTTCTCTCGTCTGTTACCCCTCTCTATAGCTCTAACATTCGTCCCACACTCTCATACATACAATCTCACTAAATTTTATTTTTATTCCCGGAGATGTTTTTTCTGTTTTCTTTTTGAATTTGTAGGTCTGATGAATTGGATCGTATTTACGATTCCTATTGAATAAATTATGACCATGGAATATTAGTGTTTAAGCCTTTTTATTATATCCTTACTCTGTCCTGGACATTGAGTTCTACCTGGATTCTATCCTCTTGGAATTATTTTTTATAGAATTATATATGTATGCGTATGTATGTATGTATATATATTTATATATTTTAGATATTATCTATCTATCTATCTATCTATCTATCTATCTATCTATATATATATATATATATATATATATATATATATATATATATATGGCATGAAACAGACTGTCGATACTGGGTGTTGAACTTGGTGTCCACTTATATATATTCTACCGACCACACAGACCTCATAAGTCCTTGAAGATGACTGAGACATCGAAGTTACGTAGGCAGGACAATAAAACAACATGAACTTTGGACAGTTTATCCACAAATTCAAGTCCAATACTCGAATATCTTACTGGAAAATTGGAAAAAGCACAATAGAAAAATTAAACAGACAGAAGTTTTATGTCTTTTTCAATCAAACATGTTAGGGTGAATATTTGTTGCCTAAAGATAAGTTATCCATATTCATTCTCGCAGCCAAGAAAGATTCAATTTTACTTCAAGTAACATTTCTTCGTTCGGATATAGACCAAATAAACACTGTTTAAACAATAGGACGTTCTACTCAAATCCGAGTATCGGCTAAAAATAAGGTTCTGCATAATTAAAATATAAATATGTCGGATTAAAAATATGTCGGATTAAAAATATGTCAGATTAAAAATAAAAATCCATTAACTCTTTACAAATTTCTTTGTTTACGTTTTGCATACAACACTGAGAAGATACGTATTTCGAAAGAAATCTTAAGATGTTGCTTTAAGACAAATAGACCAATACTTGGCTATGAGACACTCCATAGCCGAGTGGTCTAAAGATCGCTGAATCAGACGGTGGTTCAAATCCTACCAGAGACTACATTTTCGTTATGTTTTCTCTGTCTGTTTTAAAAAAAATAAAGGTTTTACTCAAAGACGGGTATCCACAAAAAAATAACGTTTCATGCAATAAAAATACTGATATGTATATATATATACTAATTTTTTTAAAAATCATTTCACACCCATATAAGGCGGCAGTAAAGCCACTAATCGACAAGGGGTTACTGAGTGTGAAAGAATAAGAAAAAAAAAACAAGGAACGCGGACAATAGAAGAACAGGAATCAAAAGACAGAAGATAGCGATTGACATTGCACTTAAATTTTTTTAAGATCAAACTTCACTGGAAAGAAAGAAGCCGGGAGAGATTTCCACAAGCAAGAAAAGAAACTGTTAGCATAACTGTAAGTTATATCCAACAAGCGAGAGGTGCGATAGAAGAAACTGTTAGCATAGAACTTACGGTTGCCTCTACCCAATTCAACTGTGAATTGATGGTACCTTACTGCCAATCTAGTACTGCGCTTAAATTAATAAAGTTTAAGTACCATATCGAATAGTGATATTTATTTTGTAATGAATACAAAAATGTGGTTCAAACACACGGCATAGGCACTCCCAAAATACGAAAGAGTCCTGCATCCACCAGAGAACTGACATCTCTGGTCACCTAACGGTGAAGGAAGAAGGAATTAAAGAAAGTTGGGATAGTTATGCCAATGAGCATACATACCCTAGTTAACTTCGAAGGAAGGAACTAAAGACAAAAAGTAACCTTAAACTAACCTAATTTGGGACTAGGTTGCTAATAATCCAGTTCCAACAATACCGGGCATAAAAGTAAAACTCTAAATCGGCTCCTCTTATTCGACACAAACGCGCAGCACTCGCCCACCTTTTTCCAAGTTTTGATGAAAGGAGCTGCAGCCTTTCCGTCCTAATCTTGACTTTAAGCTGATGCTTAAAGAACAAGATCAGTTGGGAAGAGGTGAACATTTTGCCTTCATAGTATTCCTTCTGACGTGTCCTCCCTATCACGACTCTCATTACGCCTATCAAGCAAAAGTCCACATAGTGTTCAGCCTTCGACAACGACGGTACCACATTGCGACAGACAGAACTGTCCTCGGGGACGAAAAACGTCCCGCGCAGCATGCGAACTATGATATCATACTTATTATAAAACCCAGGTTTTGTGTGTGTGTGTGTGTGTGTGTGTGTGTGTGTGTGTGTGTGTATTGGATCGGATTTCCTACATTTTTCAACCGATTTCAACA